GGAGAGGGAGCTGCAGGGGAACCGCAGCCTTCCCACGTGGGAAACTTGTTTTTCTCAGATCTGCTAATGAGAAAATACATTTCTCCACTTTTTAGTTTGAAATGCTGGGATCTAGCATGTGTTTCTGAGAAACGCTGTGTGAGAGCAGGGTGGGCTGACGGTGGGGAAGGACGGTGCTGCCGGGGCACTAGGTGAGGGGACAGATGGTTGGAGGCTTTGAATGAACACGTGAGGGTATTCCAGGTAAAATTGTCAGTAAAACAAGGGTGATGGCGAGTAAACTTCTGTTACTGGGACTTTAAATTAACGCTTGGAGCCGAGTGGATTTCCCTTTTTAAAGCTGCTCTATATTATGCATACGGTGGTTGCTTACTAGAGTTTCTGAAACATTTCTCATTCAGAGGTTTTAAAGTTGTTGGGTATTTTTAATGTTAAATTTCCCAGGGAACTTTCATCATTGTAGAGTGAAATTACTCTTGTTCCTGAGCCATGGAAACTGAAACAGACGGAGATTAAGTGACATTTTAATTTAAGCGAGGGAGTCAACCCTGGAACTGGAACAACCTGCCCATACTCCTTTGAGCCTGTTTCTGGTTTGATTTCCAAGGACAGAAGTGGGGTCCTGTAGTATAGCAGGGAAGACACTGTCTAAACCTTTGAATACTTCCGTTACTATTGCACGTTGTAGCATTTTTGATACTGGGGAGTCGACACTTCCCGCATTTCCCAGCGGGTTTGTTGTCAATGGTGTTGTCCACTGGTGTTCATCATCTTTTCTCAGGCAAAACTGAAGAAGAAGTGAGAGAGATTGACAGAGTCATGTACCATGACTGGCGTATGGTGCCCAAGCATGAGGAGGAGGCCTTCAAGAAATTCACCCCAGTGGCAGAGGAGACCATTCGGTACCTGCCGTACCCGCCTCTGCTCCGAGCCATGATCCTTGCGCAGTGGCAGAAAGAGGGAAAACCAATCACAGAGGAGCCAATGATTGACCTGGAGAAGGTCGGGATCTCTCCCCATCAGGGTGCAAAGAAAAAAGCTGCAGGGACACCAGTGTAAAGACTTGTTCTATGTCCTGAGCTTCCCACATGCTCTCGCTGTGTGTTAGAAGCACATCATCTTACAGACCCCCTTGTCCACTGTGGTATGGCATATCCAGGTTTCCTAGCTTTCTCCCCAGCCCTGTACAGTCACCTCATCTGACAGGAAAGATGCAGATACATTCAGATTTTTTTTCTGTAACTTTGGTCTCAGTCAGCAGAGGAACCTTCTTGATTCCCTATATAGTCTCTGAATGCATAGCTCCTGTCATCCAGCTAGAATTCTCTGGAGCACAATTTCCTTTACAGCCTGAAAATTAGGTTTTTAAGAACGTGTGTCAGATAATTTGGGTCCTCCATAAATCACAGAAAAATGACTGAGAATATTGCATCATTTCACAGAGCTGTGTACAAATCTATCTACTAACAAAAATAAAGGTTTTCTTATTTCTGCAGCACAGTTCTAATAAAACTTGGTATTTTTTTTCAGTGCATGGAGATCATCATGAGGTCCAAATGCAGAGTCACTAACTTACCAAAACAGGCACAGCATCAGATGCCTCTTAACTGCTGCAGAGTCATCTGAGTTACTTACATGTGATGGCAATGAAGAACACGGGAGGAACACAACTTGACGTTGTATACTAAGCTTATCTAAAGATATCCATCTCTTATTCCCAGCGACGTCTGTCCAGAGATAGGAGAAATAATTTTAATTCTGGTGACACAAAGTAGACAGGATTGGCTGTTACTATGTGAAGGCAATCGCAAGTTACCGCCTGTTCCAGTGCAGCATGTTGTAGTGAACATCACAAAAATGCAACTCCTTAGTGCAGGTCTTAGCATTTCATTCTCTGTTGTGGCGGCTGTGGATTCTGCTGCTGTGCCAGGAACTGTTGGAGGGTCTGGTCCGGCTGTGGGTGGGGCTCAAGGGCTCTTCTGGTCTGTCACCCTGCAGATCAGCTCCTTGCAGAAGCAGCTATTGAGTTCTTTCGGCTGCTGCAGTAGGCAGTCAAGAGGTGCTGTTCCATTTGCGATAGCATCCTGAAATCACAAGCAGCCTGAAGGGATTTACTGAGGGAAAGCAGAAACGCTCCACCCTGCCCACTGTGCATGGCAGGCCTGGGTGGGACAGCGGAATGTGTGGCCTCAAGTCACCAGGAAAAAGGCTGTCATCAGACAAGAGCAAACGGATCGCCGTCACTCCCTTGGCTTCCATGGGATTCCTCGACGGGGCTCTCCTATGGGATAAAGAAGGAAAGTTTTTCTGATGAATTAAAAGCTGGTCCTATGACAAAGCACGAAGGCTGGGAAAAGCTGAGCTCTTGTCCCTCTGCTGTGGCAGGAGTGCTGCAGGGCACATGCCAGGGCTGGTTCACTGGCTTCAGAAGCACTGGGATAGTCCTGGGGAGGGAAAACCCAGAGTGTTGCTGAAGGCACAAACTGTTTGAGGCTGTGAGAGTTCATGCTGCAGCTGCAGCTGATGGAAAACAGCTTCTCTGGTTTCCAAAGCCTCTGCTGCCAGGGGCTGGCTGAGCTGGTGCATTCCTGTGATTGAGGTGCTACTGAACCAGCACACAAACTGAGGACAAGTGAGGTGGGAAAGGAGGCATAGATGTGTGTTAGATGGGACAAGTAGAACAGCCTAATCCTCTGTCCTGCACAGCCAGGAGCTGAACACAGCACAGGCAGTGCCCTCCCTGACAGGGCATAGGCCCACGGAGTCTGACCACAGTGGGCAGAGCCAAGTGCTGGTAACAGGGGCCGCTGACAGCCCCAGATAAGGCAAGAAATGACCCACAACCAGGGTCCAGCCAGGGACCCCAGCCAGAAGCAAAAGCAGATGGAGATAATACACCGTAAGGCATAGAATCATACAATGGCTTGGTTGGGAAGGGACCTTTGAAGATCATCTAGTCCAAACCCCCAAGTCCAAGGAGCAGCTGGAGACAGGCACAGCTACAGCACAGCTCAGACAGAGACTGAAGGCCCCAGCTGGTGCTTAAATGAGGCTCCTGGGCCATGGGTGGAAAAGGCCCATGTATGGGGGGGGGCCCAGGTGGGGCTGACAAGGACAGTCACAGCCTGCTGGTGACCTCAGGGCCTTAACCCTTCAGGGGTGGGGGGGTCTTCACACTGAGCCCTGGGCAGCCCAAGAGCCTTATTGGATTGTGAAGACTCCCTTCGGGAACACTGCACAGCCCCGCTTGCCACGTGTTGGATTTAACGCCTAGAATGTTCTGGGAGCTCTGCCGGGACTCTCAAATCTGTACATTAACCTCCTGGATCATTTAACAGCACAGGGGTGGTTGTCTGAAGGGTGACGGTAGTGAGCCACTTCCTCCACTGCCCAGGTGGTTGTCAGACATAGCTGCCTTCACCTAGTGCCTTGCTCAAACTGCTTCTGGCGTATAAAAAGGGGCAGCCCCAGGGGTGAAGGACAGGTCCCAGGGCCTGTTTCCAAACCTCATTGTTGAGGTGCTTCTACTAACCCTGTTGTACTTCACCCCGACCTGCACAGGACCGAAGTGCAGGTGTTAGTCACGGAGGTGACTCACCTTAGGGACCCCTGCTCAGGGCAGAACCTGCTCCTGGCATGAGGAGGCGGCTCCCTTGTCTATTATTGCTATGTACAGCCCTTGAACTAATGCAGTTCTACAAAATAAATATGAACGTGTCTAAGTGCTGCTGGGACTAAGAGGAACTTGCTTCCCAGTGCTGAATGTCACTGATTCCAGTGGGACTCTGAAGTACCACCCTGTACTGACAGGGGACATTGGCAAACTGAGTATTGAAGGCTGAGCCTGATGTGTTAACCCTGGCAGCTCACCTGAAGGGCACACCACGAACACAGCTGCAGCTGCCAGCAGCTGAACGTTTGTCTTTTCTGCCTGTTATTTCTGATGCTGGGAGAAGCTACAGCTTGCACTGTGGCTCGCAGGACCAGCCCCTTCTGCTCTGACTCCCTATCTTATTTCTTGCCACTAAATTGCTCAATGGTCAACACTTAAGCTGCAATTCCCACCCTTTTTAAGTGTCTTGCTGGAACTAAAGACTGATCATAAATCCCAGTGCCTTTACAGGAACGAGACGCCCTGTGCTTGCTGATGTTAACACATTTATTACATACAGAACAGATATGGTTTGTTGTTTGATAGCATAGGGGACAAAGCATGGGAACGTATTCATACAGCAGTCTCTTTACAGAATGCCATCTTCAGACCAAATAGCGGAGTTTACAGGCCTTAAGACACTTTTTTAAATCCTTTTGTAACATACAAGATACTTTACATACATCACAGTGGAGATATGACAAGGAAGCGTGTTGAAGCCAGTCAGTTCTCACCTTGCTGCCCAGCAGCCACCAAACGCCCACAGGAGCTCACAGCAGAGCCTGGTTCTACTTAGCTGTAGCTGCCTCTCTTGGACATGTGCTTCTCTTGGAGGAAAACATGCACTGAGCTGGAAATAAACCTGTTGGTGGAGGCCAGAAACTGGTTTCCTTACATTGCCAGGGCCCAGTGGGTGACAGGAGACTGGGTACTGTCACTTCAACTGCTAAAACCAGCTACAGAACAAACAGTAAGAGGTAAGAACGTTGCAATTCTGTATTTTCCTACAGAAGAGTTGATAGAGCTACGGAACTGGCCCCACTAGGGCTTTTTTTTTTTCCTTCAATTAGTCCAAATTACAAAGTTTACCTGGCCCTAGCTGATGAACGGTTACATGTCTGTGGAATCTGTGGTCTAAATGTCAATCTTCTTGTTAACTTGAATGCACTTTGTGTTGTGATCCAAAGAGCTCTTCCTAGCAGAAAGCATTTTGGGGAAGTGAACAAGAAGCCTGGCACAGTCAGCAGTGCCCTGGCGAAATGTCCCTGCTGAAGGGTCCCCCCACATGCAGGTGGCAGCTCCAAGCATCCCTTAGCCAAATGCCAGCCACAGAGCCCGGTGTGCCAACGGCTGG